TTATTGAGAGGCTTGGAGAGCTTTCGGTGGCGAATGTTATCTGGGCAAAAGTATATGACTTTTGGCTTATTTACTTGGCAAACCTTCATTATTAGATGAAATGAAGATGATTACATCCAAAAGAACATAACACGAAATGCTTTGTGTTATATGGGAATCCAAAAAACTATATGGAATATTACAAATATTTTGTTAATCATATTTAGTCTTAGGTAAAAGATGCAAATTTGAATATTTACAATAAGCGTTCCAAATAGTACGCCATGAAATAAGCTATCTACACGTTCATTGATGTCTATTAAATCGGGTAGACATATTGTAGATGTGAGAGTACGCAGCCTGCTAGTACGCCAACTCGGAAGTACCTGTAGCCATATGTATATAATTGATTTGTTTATGTCATGTTCTGCGAAATTGTTTGTTAGCGATCTATTGTAACTTGTCTCACAATGTAAATACATGCTTTAAACGAAACCAAAAAGAATTAAAATTCCATACAAATAACGGAGTATTCCATGAAAATCATAACTTTTGACTTAATGTTGCGCTGTGAGTGAAAGTCTCGGACATTGCCAGAAATTTTCTTTCCTAGCTTACTTACTCTGTTAAGGTTATACATGGTTTGTTTTCCCACAGGATAATCTAAGCCACAGGTTGTTATTGAAAAGCTAAAAATTTTTTTAAACACGAAAAGGCGGGCAGAGGAAAAGCGTCAAAGTTACGCGCTGAAAATAGCATTTTTTGCTCAACACACCGTAACCAGACATATTAAGTGTATTAGCGCACATGCAAACCGTGAATGACGTACATATATTATATCCAATTTTTTTTTGTTAGTGAGCATTTAAAGTTTCCACATACCATTTTATACATAAGCACATGCATTACTAAAACAATCTATATTAATAAGCATCACACGTCCGAACGCCTACACGACACAACCAGGCAGTTTATTCTGCACTGATGCGGGATACTTTGAATGCCTTTTTTAATGGTTCTAAGAATTAATTTCTATGGTAGGAGGGAAATTTTTCTAGGATAGGCAGGGAAAAAAGATGATCCTGTGCTAGGCGGGAATTAATGTCTATGTAGGCAGGGAATACTGTCTACGGACATGGAAATTACACTTTGTGGGAGCAGGGAATTAGTGCCTATGGTACATAGATATTTATACTAGCCTATGTAGCGTATTAACATTTCATAAGACAGTAACGAAGCCCAAATAACGGCATTATCTGCTGAGCAGGGAACTATGCCTTTTTAATGGGTAGAGAATTAATTTCTATGGTAGGCAGGGAATTAATGTCTATGGTAGGCAGGGAATTAGTGTCTGTGCTAGGCGGGAATTTAAATTTATGGTAGCAGGAAAATTTTGTCTTGGTGGCAGGAAAATTAATGTTGTTAGGGAGGGAATTAATGCTGTGGTAGGCAGGGAATTAGTGTCTATGGTAGGCAGGGAATTAATGTCTATGGTAGGCAGGGGATTAATGTCTATGGTAGGCAGGGGATTAATGTCTATGGTAGGCAGGGAATTAATGTCCATGGAATAAGCAAGCAACTGCTACATGTACACACTGACATGCTTCCCGTCCATCCTCATGGCTTGTCTTTAGAAGTAATAATTTTCTTAAATCCTGAAGAAAGTGCAGTAGGGAGGTGTAATACAGTCAAGTAAAAAAATGCAACAATAAAACATGATATCTGTTCAGACTGTCTTACCTTTGAAGGTACTTTGGTAAGAGAGTTATAAGGTTCTTTCAGTCTTTAACTCAGAAATATTTTAGCCAAGGCAAGGGAGCATGAAATAAAATTTACATAAATGAATAATATAATTATTAAATTTTGACACATTTGTTAAACCGCAAATAGTTGAAATAAAACGATATTTGCACCTTAAAGTGTAAGAACTGAAAGAGACTTCGCCCCTTGACGATATGGCAATCAGTGCAGAAGTTAATTAACATACGATATTCACACACACACACACACACACACACACACACAAACACACACAGGAGGAGAGTGGTCGAACACCTGAAAAGGAACAAGATTATAAATGAAAATCAGCATGGGTTCATGGAAGGCAATCTTGTATCACAAACCTTTTGGAGTTTTATGACTAGGTAACAGAAGTAAGACACGAGAGAGAGAGGTGGGTAGATTGCGTTTTCCTAGACTGCAGGAAGGCCTTTGACACAGTTCCCCACAATAGATTAGTGCAGAAGCTGGAGGATCAGGCGCATGTAACAGGGAGGGCACTGCAATGGATCAGGGAATACCTGACAGGGAGGCAGCAACGAGTCATGGTACGTGAAGAGGTATCACAGTGGGCGCCTGTGACGAGCGGGGTCCCACAGGGGTCAGTTCTAGGACCAGTGCTATTTTTGATATATGTGAACGACATGATGGAAGGAATAGACTCTGAAGTGTCCCTATTCGCAGATGATGTGAAGTTGATGAGAAGAATTAAATCGAATGAGGATGAGGCAGGACTGCAAAG